TGAGGGCCCTGCTCCGGGCCCTGCTGGTCCTGGGAGCCTGCCCGCCCGCAGCGAGCAGCCGTGCCCGCTGTTGTTCTGCAGGAGCTCGGCATTAGCCTGTGAGCTTCAGCACCTGCCGTCGCACTGTCTGATCAGTGTTCGGAGAGGGAAGGAAGACGTTTTTGAGGGCCCTGCTCCGGGCCCTGCTGGTCCTGGGAGCCTGCCCGCCCGCAGCGAGCAGCCGTGCCCGGCCCTGTTCTGCAGGAGCTCGGCATTAGCCTGTGAGCTTCAGCACCTGCCGTCGCACTGTCTGATCAGTGTTCGGAGAGGGAAGTGTGAAGACGTTTCGGTAAAAGGAGGTGGAGCCGCTCTGGGCAGCTGGGGCCTGTGACTGCTACCCTCTCATTTTAATCCCTTGCAGCTTTCCAAGTGCCGCGAGAAGGTGGAGAAGGCCCTGAGCGCCGGGGACCCCTCCAAGTGCGGGTACATCTCCCTCAATTACCTCAAGATCGTCCTGGACTCCTTCGTGTTCCAGTTGCCGCGGAGGGTCTTCATCTCGCTGATGAAACGGTAAGAGTCCCGCTGCTCCCTGGACATCTTTTCCCTCCACGTCAGCCGCGAGGGAAGGAGCGCCTCCTTTATTTCTATTAAATGCTTTGGGCTTTTCGCTGCTGAAAAGCTTGAACCCGTGCGGAAGCAAAGAGACTGAGAGGATCAATGCGCGCAGGTCCCCACGCCCTCAGCCCCAGGGGTTTTTGAAACAAACATCAGACATCACATTTCACTGGCTAGATCTCCAAACGATAAGAACTCTTTAGAAACCTGTGGAAACACGTGTCCACACCTCGGAGAGTCATCGATGCTGATAATGTCCAGTCAGGGTTCACATGTGACCAGTTGTCTCTGTTTTCTTTTATGACGTGTATTTGAGTCCGGATCCAAATCAGGCCGCACACGTCAGCGGGTTGGTTTGCCACAATTCTCTAGGCCCCTCTCCATCTACTCATCATCCCCGTGAGGCGCGTGTAGGAGTCGCGCTGTTTGTTACGAGGAGTTTCTTACGACACGAATCTGACGGTGGTGCCCACAGTGGCAGTCAGCATGCCCTCCCGCCTCCCTCCCCCGCCCGCCTGGAACGGGTAGGTCTGTAGACCCACGTCCAGTCTGGGGGCAGGAATTCTTCATGAGGGACTGCATGTCTCCTCCGGCGATGTGCGCAGCCACGTTGACCGGACTAGTGGGCGCTGGGTCCGGAGTCTGCCGAGCAGTGATGTTCCCGTGGGTCATCCCTGCTCTTATTGGTGGGGCTGCTCCTGCGGTGAAAGCTTCCCCTCCCCAGTGACTTGGCGACAATGAGGCCCCATCAACCTAAGACAGGCAGGAGACCCTGGGCTTCCTAGCACCTTCCTAGAGCAGTGAGCCATCTGTCTTGAGAAACAGTACCGACCCATTTTGATTTGTTGCAGTTGTCATTCTCATTGATACTCAGTCTGTTCCATTGTGGTGGGGGGGGGCGGGGGAAGCGGGAGCCTTTTGTGTCTGCCCCGAGGCCGCTGCTGCCACCCTCAGAGTCTGTGTCACTCTCTTGCTTTCCGGCTGACACATGCTCCGGCTCCTCGGGTCATCTTTTGGCCCCGACCTGGAATCAGCCATTTCTCCAGGATCCGTTTCCTTCCCATTGGGAGTGGTGTGTGGAGATGGAACTCTGGGTGAGGAGCTCAGAGAACCTTTCGCAGGGGAGGTCGGGTGGAGGCTAATGGGAAGATTGTCTCACGGAGCTCTGGTCACTGCTGGCACTCGGGTGAACTCGAAAGGAAAAGCCTAGGAGAAGGAAGAGGAAGAAGGGGTGCTAAGCTAGACCAGCGGGTCGTTTCCCACTGCACCCCCTTTCCCTCTCCGCACCCTGTGTATGCAGAGTCGCCACGTACGGCCACCTGCCTCCCACAGTGAAGGGCGCGGTGAGCGTGGCCCGGGAGCGAGTGCGCCCGTGGGCCAGCAAGCAGCTGTGGGTCCCCCTGTGCACGGTGACATTCTGCAGGATTGCCTTCTTGGATAACTGAAAGTTATACAGACATTTCTTTCTAGCTCATTTTCAAAATGAAACAAGTAGTGATTTAATAGCAGCAAGAAAAATCAAAACCAGGAAGTCACCACCCACCTCACGTAGCAAATTTACTGTTTTCATTTCCCACACTCTCTTCTGCTTTGTGTCCGCATACATCTATAACTTTTACATATTTGTAATCCGCGTGTGTCTCCAGTTTTATATTGTGCTTTTTAAAATAGGAATGCATATTACAGACATTCTTCATGCTGCCGTGTGGTCTTCCGAGTTGTAAGTGTAATGGATACATATTGAGTGCTTCTCTCTGCCAGACGTTGTGGGGGGTGTTAAGAAGGCGGAAATCAGTGTGGCCGACCAGAGTGGCGGTGGCGGTGAAGACGGTGACAGGTGCAGGGAGTGAGCGTAGTAGGAGGCCACTGCAGCCAGCACCGTGCTTCCGGGATAGCCTGTTCCAGCCAGTGACCCGGGAAAGGGGTTTCCTGAGTCGTGCCCTTTCCCGCATTCACCCAGAGGTCCCGGTGGAACAGGGCACGTGCGACAATGGCAAGGTGAATGCCCAGCGGCTTAATACCATGAGTTGTAAATTAGGTGTGTCCCCTGGTGCATGTATGTGGAAGTAAAGACTTGTCATATCCTCCTGGTCAATGATCCCTTTAGAAGTATATAGATACCTTTTAATCCCTCTGACTTTTATAATCTACCTTATCTGATTTAAAAATAATATATTCTTACTAGAGGCCCAGTGCACAAAATTTGTGCACTTGGAGGGTTCCCTCAGCCTGGCCTGTGCCCTCTCGCAGTCTGGAAGCTCTTGGGGGATGTCTGACTGCTGGGCCTAACCTGACTGCCAGGCCTAACCCGGCAGTTGAACATCCTTATTGCTGCCTAGGAGGCAGAAGAGGCCGCCGCCACTGCTGCTGCAGTCGCCAGCTGTGAGCCCGGCTCAGGGCTTCTGGCTGAGCGGCGCTCACCCGGTGGGAGCGCACTGACCACCAGGGGGCAGCTCCTGCGTTGAGCGTCTGCCCCCTGGTGGTCAGTGCATGTCATAGCAGCTGGTCATTCTGCCTTTTGGTCAATTTGCATATTAGCCTTTTATTATATAGGATTGATTTTAGGGAGAGAAAGGGAGAGGGAGAGAGAGAAAAAAACATGGATGAGAGAGAGCAACATCCATCAGTTGCCTCCCATACACACCCCGACTTGGGATCCAACCCGCAATCTGGGTATGGGCCCTGACCAGGAATCGAATTGGCAACCTTTTGGTGCCACTCCGGCCGGGCACCCTTAGCTGATATTAAAATACGCATAACAGTTTTCTTTAGATTACTACTTGTCAGGTATATCTTTCCCTGAACTTTTACTTTCGCTCTTTGGTTGTCATATTCTGTATCTGCTTTTTCAAAATTCCAAAATGAACATCTTTGCCTTTTCAATGGTAAATTTTAGTCTGTTTCCATTTATTGTGATGGCTGTTTTGGATTTTTCCTACCACTTTATTTTGTACTGTCTTATTTACTCAGCTGATCTTTTATCTCCTTCTCAATCATGTTTGGTTCTGAGTTTTCCTTATCACTCTTTTTTCTCTCCACTATCTAGAGACTTAAATATTTTCTTTCTATTCTTGTGGTGATTACCCTTAAATTTGTAACACATGCTCTAAACTTATAAAGCCCAAAGCTAACCCATATTTCTGCTGTTGTGAATGAAACACACACCTTTAACTTCCACGCTACTGTCACCTGGTGCTTTGATCCCTCCTTGTTTTGACAGCACCAGAATTATTATTATTATTATTATTATTTAACTAGAGGCTCAGCGCATGAAACCATGCACGGGTAGGGTCCCTAGGCCTACCCTGCAATCAGGGCCACCTTCCGCCCGCTCGCCAGTCCCCAGTCCCACCCCGCTGCTGACACCCATCCCGGTTCCCCATTTGCCATCTGGCAATCTATCGGAGCCTGCAGGCTGGGGGGAGGGACCAAGACGTCTGCCTTCCGTCCGCTCACCAGTCCCCAGTCCTGCCCCACTGCCGCCACCCACCCCGGTTCCCTGTGGTTCCCTGTTGGCCATCCAGCGATAGGAGCCTGTAGGCTGAGGGGAGGGACCGAGGGGTGGTCAATGCACCTCATAGCGACTGGCTGATCGGTTGTTCTGGTCATTATGCCGTTATGGTTGCTGGCCTTTTATTATATAGGATGTGGTCTATACTTGTCTGGATTTTCTCATGTTTACTAGCATGTTTTCTCATCACTGCTTCCTAAGTCTCACTCCTTCCTTCTGAAGTCCATTTCCTGAAGGATGTCCTTTAGTTGTCCTTTCAGTGAGGTCCTGTGAGGGGTGAGTTCAGTCTTTGTTTTCAAACAGTGTCTGTTTCCCCCTGGCTGATTAATGAACATTGAATAGGGAGTGGAATGCGTGTTTGAGAGTTATTCCTCGCAGGCCCTAGAAGGCATTGTTCCTGGTCTTCTGGTGGGTTCCCCACTTGCTGTTTCCCTCAGTTGCATGATAAGCTCTTCGGGTTGAAGTTCACATCCTATATAATAATAGGCTAATATGCTAAGTGTCCAGTTGTCTATTCAACCAATCAAAGCGTAATATGCTAATGATATGCTAAGGTCATTCAACCGCTTGCTATGATGTGCATTGACCACGAGGGGACAGACAGTCGACCGGTCGACCAGTCGCTGTGATGTGCACTGACCACCAGGGGGCAGATGCTCTGACCAGTAGGTTAGCTTGCTACTGGGGTCCAGCCAATCAGGACTGAGCGAGATGGGCCAGACACGCCCTAGAGCCCTCCTACAGTCCCTCCCAGGCTGGCCAACCTCCCGCGTTCCTCCCCGGCCCCGATCATGCACTGGTGGGGTCCCTCGGCCTGGCCTGCGCCCTCTCGCAATCTGGGCTGAGGGACCCCCTCCCCCCAGTGCATGATTCTGTGCACCGGGCCTCTAGTTTCAAAATAATCACAGACATGAATCTTCTTTTGCAATGTCTTCTGTGGCTTAAAAATCTGTAAATTCATCATTCTTACCCAGGCTTGAAAAAAACATTTTCCACACTGCTTGTTTTTTGTTGTTGTTTTTATTCTTTGAAAACAAAACAAAACAAAACATTTTATAATCCATTCTGACATAAGGTGGTATCCAAATTAAATTATTTTTCCAAATAGGTAATCTACTTTACCATCACCACTTTTTAGCACTAACCAGGTGGTCTCCTAAGAGAGAATCTGCAGGGTTCTGCGCTAAAGAATTGGCCCAGGAGAATGAGCTTGAGGCGAGACTAGTGTCAGCGATGAGCAGCCTCGGTGGCCCTGCCCCAGGTGGCCCTGCCCCGGGCGCTCCTCTTTGCTTTGGTCCGTAGGGATGGAGGAGAGATGGGAGGAGTGTAGGGGCCGGGCGGGCGCGACCTCAGAGGGGCATGTGCGGGAGGCTGTGGGCGGGGGAACCCCTCTGTGCCCTGAGTGCACGGGTTCTACGCATCTGTGCGGGCACGCCTGGGAGGTAGGGTAGGTGCCTGGGAGATAGGGTGGGTGCCTGGGAGGTAGGGTGGGTCCCGTGCCGGACCATCGCAATAAAGCGAGTGTTGCCATAAAGCAGGTCGGGATCTTTTCGCTTTTAGTTAGTAAAAACGCAGTATTTGTGAAGCTCAGTAAAGTGAGGTATCTCCGTAGATAAGTTAAAACTCATGAAACTACATGGAGAGCAAATGTCCATTTTATTGCACTTTCATTTAAGAAGTGAAATTTAAAAACTGGTGCTTTTAAGGCCAATAATACAGGAAATAATAAAGAAGGAAGCAAAATAAAATCTAATCTCTCATGCCTAACAAAACGATGTGAGAAATTCTTCTTATATCCAATTTAAGAATGGGTAATATAGGAAAAAATAGGCATCTTTTTAAGTTTGTTGTTCTTTTAACTACTCAGGGTCTCGGGCTAAATTTAAAACACGAACAGCTTGGTAATGAGGCATAAAATCTTTATCCAAATAATGGTTTGGAGACTTTAAAGCTGTTTCCCGTGTGTTTCTAATGGAGCAGGAGACGGTGCTGGAACAGCGAGCGCAGCCGTCATTACTGCCACGCTGTGCTTTTCGGAGCCGCCCGGCTTCACACCAGGTGGACCTGTTAACGGGCCAGTCGCAGGCAGGAGAGCGGGTTTCAGGAGGGGCGGGAGGACGGGAGAAACGCTGCCGGGCCGAGGTCCATCCACCCCCCACCCCAGAGCGGGCCTCCCCCCAGAACCGCTCCTGCTGAGAATGCCCCGTGCGCTGCTACCCCTGCGGCTGGCGGAGCTGCGCAGCAGAGAACCAGCCGTGTAGCCCAGATTGTGTGAGGCGGGACAGCATCACCGGGGACGTATCTCCAGTTATTGCCCGGAGTGTCACACTCGGTGTCTGAGACCTCTTCTACCTCCACGCCTTTCAGGGAAAGGCGAAGCCAGGCGTGAGGCGAGATCAGTGGTCCCAGGACCAGGGCTGGGTAGGGTGTGACTCCAGGGTGTGGAGGGAGCAACTCCAGGGGCACTTTTTTTTGGGGGGGCATGAGGAAGCTGATCCCTACCCTGCTGTGATCTCTGATCCGGCTCACATGGGCCAGGTCTAGGCAGCCAGCAGGTGCTTGTGAGCTGATGGCAGGATCTTCCCCCCAAGAAGGGGGATTAAGTGGAGTCATTGGTGGGGTAGACATGATCTCTGTGGCCTGAAGGGGCCGGGAAAGGGGGTCACTGAGAGAACCAAGGCTGACCGAGAGGGTCCAAAAGCAGGGAAGCCTTCGGGAGAAGCATGAATAGCGGTGCCTCAAACTACTGTCGTAATCCCCCTGTTGGATGTTGCCACGTCTGCCTAATGATCGTCAGCCAATCCATCTCTCTCTCCTCTTGACCATGTACATGGTGCTAGCAGCAGCTGCAGAAGGAGCAGTGATGATGATAACCATAATCATAACCAAAGGGCTATGCAGTTCTTAGCTGCTTATAACCCCTAGGTAATAGTGGAAAGGCTGTAAGGAGGTGACATCGCGCTAAGAGACGGGCCACTAGGGCCAATCGCCCTGGTTACGGGAGGAAGTCGGGGAAGGCTTCCTTGAGAGAGGAATGGTTCAACTAGACTCGCCAGAGGGATGGAACCAAGGAGGTGAAGTGTGGGAAGTGGGTCACGATGGGGAAGCCGCGGGGTGTGGGAGCGAGGACAGGAGCACAGCCTGTGAGGACGGAAGGACCCGTGTGGCTGGTGCCGGGGGAGCAGGGGGCGGCCCGGCGCGGGGTGCGGCCAGAGGTGCTGGTAGGGCCCAGCTGCAGGCTGCGAGTGCCAGGAGGGCTTCCGTTTTATCCCAAGAGCATGGAGAGTCATGGAGGGACTTGAAGCGAGAGAGTAATCTGCTCACACGTGCATTTCAAAGAGCAGCTGGTTGAAGTCTGGAAACTTACTGGGGAAGACGAACGAGACACAAGCCCGATCGGGATTGCGGCAATAATTCGAGTGAAAGGAGAGGGTAGCTCGGCTTCTCCTGTGGACGCTCGAACGGATGGACAGCTGGGTGGTGGCACACGGGTCACCCAGGTTGAGCTGGCGAGACTCGGGGACTGTGATCTTAAAGAAACTAGCCTTATCTCTCGCCGTCCCTGAAACTCGCGCCCTGGGCCTTGCTCTTTGCCCCTGGCTGAACACATGGGAGACCCCGCCTTTCCGTTTGTCTGGGTTGGTATTGCGGAGCCGTTCTCACAGAGCGGTCAGTTGTGGGTTCCGTTAAACGGGGCCTGGCGCAGGCGAGAACCAGGGGCTCAGGGGCTGCTGCTCCCTCTCCCCGCTTTGCACTTTGCTTCCTTCCTCACTTTGCAAACTTGTTCTCTGGCTCCTCCAGGGATTGAGAGCCCGAGGAGGGGGAGGAAGAAGGGGGCAGGAGAGTTCTAGAGGCCGGTGCTGCCCTGAGCGGGAGCCGTGGCTGGGTGTGTGGGTCGCACCTCCGGACCACACATCCCTCGCTCTTTGATGAGGTCGCGTGCACCTCCATCTCATCTGACCTCAAGTTCCCTCCGCAGCTCCTGGCCCTGGAGGCAGAAGGAAACCCTCTGTGAAGGGCTCCAGTGGCGCCTGGGAGGGGACGGAGGGACCGTGTGGTTGTGGGCGCACACGCGCACTTGTTCTCTCACGGCGCCCGCGCCGATCCACACGAGAGCAGCGCTCTCGGCCGCTGGCGTCAGCAGTCAGTGCGGGCAGTCTGCCTCCCGCCCACTTGGCACCGCACGCCCTTGCTCAAGGACCCCGCACCTGGTGTGGCAGCTGGTGC